ACCAAAATTAATATGTAATGTCTCAAACAGTAATACAGTGGACACTTTTAATGGCAAGTTTGCCTGAATAGAGTTGCACGAGCATCAGCTGGATAAGATCGCAAAAGTGTCTGCATGACAGAATTGCACAAGCGTTCGCTGGATAGGGTTGTGCAAAACACTTAATCGCACCAGCTGCCCTGGATTGATTAATTAACAAAAAATTTAATTATGGCATTTTTGACTGGAAATCCTACGTTTTCAAAGATTATTCAATGGATGGGCAAAATATTAACAAAGAACAAATATTCTAGTTATGATTCTTGCTATCAGAAGAGCCAAACAGTGTTAGAATTCCGAGAACAATTTAGTACCCAAAATGAAAGGTTTGGATCTAGTAAGCTTACGCATCAGTGACATTTTTTTTCATTGTTTTTCCAGTCTCAAAGTCTAAATATTTAAGGCTCCTCTATAACTCACTATGAGAGATGAAAACGCTTGGAATTAGTCCCAATGGCTGTACACGTTAGTAGAGAATATGTGCCAGTAAGTCTGTCGATGACTCTCTGTCTGCAGCTATCAAATGCTGGTCTTTTTCCAAATTAAATAATTGGCCAACTCACCGACTGCCAGTACAAAGGTCCGTTTTTTGCACAGTTTCCCGCATGTTTTGTCGCTAATGATATTGTTTTTTCCGACAGATACTTCTAACTAAAAAAATTGAGACTGGCTACCACGACTATTAGAAAACATACTCTCAAAATTTCAACTTTCTGGTTTCTCTGGTTCCCGAGTTAGCATCTTACCTGCCAAAAATTCTCACGAGCTTGTACTTGAGAACCGCACATGCTTGGGGATTGAAATTGAAGTCTTCAAATCGTAAGTGGGCTGGAAACATCTCTTTAAAATTTCAACCTCCAAATTTTTCTGGTTCCTGAGTTAACGATAAAACTTTCACATGCTCGTACGCAAGGTTCAGACATATGTGAAAGCTGGTACCGCGGTGACACTCGATCAAGGAACTCACTGGCAAAATTTTAGCACTACAGCTTGCTTGATTGCCGAGTTGAAATACCCGGACAGGCACAAGCACACAAAAACTCACTCACACCTCACACACACATACACACACAAATATGCATACAAGCAAAAACGCATAATGATGTAAAAAAATAATTAAATGAGTAGCTCAACCAGAAGTGACAGCAGATTTACACATGCACCTGTGAACTATGCTTAGTGCCAGTGCAACAGTAATACCGTTTCGATTTGCCGACCGGCCCGAGAAAATGCAGAAAATGCAGTTACACTGAATCAGTAATGGCCAAAGGGAAAAGACAGGCCACGATGGACGACAGAAAGCTGGCTGATAAACACCGCAAAGTCAAAGCGCTAGTGAGCAACGAAAATGACGAACAGAAGCGTCAACAGCGCACCCATTTTAGTGTGGACAGCACTTCAGTGGCTAACAGCAGATTTAAAAGACCGAAAGTTCAGAGGTTTTCCATGAAATTTACGATGATTTACTCTAGTGAGCGCGAAAGGTAAGTATAAAGCAGCAACTACTCACACATTTAAAGACATTGTTTCAAGCCAAGTGCAAAAACGCATGGCCACGCCGGCAAGTCTGGCCCTTTCCAGCCTAGGTTTTTTCATTTTCCTTCATGTGAAATCTACGGTAACCAAGCAAGCTGAAAGTTACGAATGTACGTAGCCCCATGATGTAAATCTGTCGACCCATTTCCCTAAATGCAAGAAAAGGCAAAAACATCGCCAACATGAGTGTACGTGTTAAGCTGTAAAGTAGCAACCATTCATACTGTTAATGATCCGATGCTTCAATTTTAATGCAAAGACGCGTGGCTGCACCGCCAATTCTGGCACGTTGCTATGAAGGTTATAAATTCGTCAAATGGAGAACACTGCAACCCGGTATATTTTTCTATTTTTCACGATTATCCCACTATGGATCTGAATTTTGTTGTCACTTTTTGCATCTCCTTGACTTCTGCATTCGTAGAATCAGCTAAGGAATTTTGCGCATAGCTGAGAATGCAGTGAATCTGAAAACAAATACTCGTACTGTTTTCTGATTTCATGGGATGCGTACGTACTATGTTGTGAATAACCGCCAACAGCAAACAATTGTATAGATCCTTGTCAGTCAGCCTACGTTTGAATCATCTGTCGAAGGAGAGAGCAATCGACAAACTAGCCAGCAACAGATAGTGCTGCCAGCAAAATATCATTATTTGAGTCACATCCGAACGTCTTATTCTCATGAAAGCGGAAAAGCTTTTGGCTGTGTTTCTTAGGGGTACTACTTACCGGCACTCGATGTCCACCGATTGTCGATAAAGCGAGCAGTACCCCTTGCCCTTTTTGTTATCGGTTTAATTTATCGTCAGAAATACTGCAAAAAAGAGAAAGTGTTTATTTATCATTTTTAAATGCCCAGCTCGAGAAACCGCATGAGTGAGAATCTCATTCTTACTGCAGCATAGCAAAAGGTAGAGAAATTGGGTCAGGGCGGCGGCTGGCTGGAGGGCGCACCACCTTCTGACCCGACCCACTTTGACGCGTCACTACTGCCCTACATTTGACGTAATGGAGGGTGTCTATTTTTCGAAAATTGGTACGCCGGACACATCGGAGTGGGATGGACTGAGCCTCTTAAAATGTATGTTTTCGAGGGCAATTTGAGTGACGGAAGGATGGCCGCTGGTCAACTCAAAGGCGGCAGAGGACGACAGTATCGGATGAGGCCGACGGGACCGGTCGAATTCTGCGCTTAGTAGCTCCTGTTATACACTTCAGTTTTTTCACACGGAGTTCATTTAGGGACATTTCTACTAACCTCTGCAGATGCATTCGCTCAATTTGCTACACTTTTTGTCATCCTCATCATTTTAATCATCTTTGAAACTGTTCTAAGCTTATAACCAACTGATTCGATCTGGTCTCGCCGTTTCGATCGCGTTCAAACTTATCAAGTCGTTGCCGATCTGATTCGATCTAAATTTGCCGTCAAAACACTGTTTAAAAAAATTTTGGATACAATGGCTGGATGGAATAGTCAGACCCGAAGAGCAATAAACATGCACCGGAGGCTCTGTGAAGTGGGACTGTCAGGTGCATGGTTTTTGCGTCACAGCGCCCAGCGCCAGCTCATCCCGCATTTTTTCAGGAGGAAGGAGAAATCTGTTTGCAACAGTCTCAGCGTGTTTCGCGCATCACAAAATATCCAGGCAGGGAATGCTAAATTTCAGAGAGCGATAGGGAGAAAGAGGAGGAAAAATAATGGTCTGGATATGTTGGTCACCTAGTTTCCGCGATTGTTCGGGGCGCGAACTTCCAGCCCCCGTCCCCCGTCGCCCTCCATTTCAACTCCCCTTTTAAGTCGATGGATTACGCACCAGCACCTTTATACCCTTGTGTGAGCCCCCTGCCTGTCCCGATCGTTGCGCCATATCATGGTCGGCCTACATATCCCTTCTGGATGACCAGTTGGTCGCGGATTGACCCTTTCCAGCAGCGATCCACGGTTGCCCAATTGTACCGCCCTTTACGCCCGCCGTCTCATCCATTCTGCCGCCGTGCAAACAAACGACTGCCTCAATCCAAAAAGAAATTTCGCACTCGTCGTCAATATTTTCCCGCAAGGAACCATCCAGAGCATCCATTTTTCCAACCTGATGACCTTACAGTGGTAGGTTGCAGAGCTCCTTCTTCTGCTAATGGCTGTAGTGGCGCAGCTTGCCTCGAATTTCTCTTCAGCGAGTGCCAAAAGCGTCTGAACAGAAAAAGTGCGAAAAACGGAGTAGAAGTGCGCTAGGTTTATGCAGAACTGTGTCACCTGCCTAATGGTTTGGAGATTGGACGCGTTGCTCTACTTCACTATTCCAGCACTGCTAGCTTTTGTGACTCATCGGGACTTTATTAGGATGCAACGACAAATCGGAGCTTGTTGCGGGATAAGCTCAAAATGTGTTGGACACGCGCTCCAGAACGAGTACACCGCCAATTCCGGAATTCTGACCTACCAAAAATAAATTCCCGTGGTGAAATTCGGCTGAAATCTAACACACAAGCACATACCGGGCCTGCCTTTGAAGTGTTAGCAGGAAGGGCTCGAGGAAGAGTTCAGGATGTTTGTAGGGAAGGCCATTAGCTTTCAAGGTGTCATTTCCTCTTGTCTGAGCTGCTGCGGTGTATGTGAGCCTACTCCGAACTGGACCACCGCTCGTGTCCTCTGGCTCTGTTAAGCTGATGCCATTACTGCTGATAGCTGTCCCAGTTCTGATAAGAAGGCCCTCTGCATAGGCCCTCAACTATCGATACATGCAAATCACGAAGAAAGTTTTACTGCGTCCGCCAGCACAAACCTAATAAAAAACTGCGTTTTTTTAGAACTACCGCAACTGAAGGACACCTTCCGCATTCAGGCACCGCTCCTCCCGCACACTGATCGCAACAGCACTGCACCAGCAATCGCAAAGCAATTCTGTGTATTTTTGAGCAACTTTATTTTCATTCGGTGTTTTATGCTTGGTTCTTTTGACAAAACAGTGGAGCATATTCTGCGCTGGCGTGATTAGGCCCACGCCACTATGAATGTTGCGAAGCCGAAGAGTTGCTGAGTGTTTCTCGCCTGGAGGTATTAACTCCTGTTCATAATTTCATGCATTTGCTAACAGTGCGCTACCAATCGGTTTTCTTCCTAGCGCCTCTGCCTTTTGTAAAGAAATGCTGAAGGGTTTTTGATTTGGTGGAATGATTTAATGGATTGTCCTGAACGGATGATGAATGATCATTATATTTTCTGAAGTCAAAGACAAAAATCATTGGCGACGCGCACCGGGTGGGCCCGATCATGCGTTTTTGCAGTGTTTCCTGCTGTAGTGAGATTGCTCGGAAACTCAGTAGCTAGAAATGTGTGACATACTAATCCTTGAATTTCAGGAAGTTATTTGTCTATGCTGTACTTGAACAAGGAGCATTCTCTGAAAACTTCAGCCTCCCTGCTTTTCCGGATCCCGAATTAGCCATTTTCTCGCCAAGAATTTCCGTGGAGCCATACATGGTAATTGCACGTGCTTGGGAAGCTGAATTTGATAAATTTATGTTGTGCATGTGCTGGGGACATTCCCTGAAAGTTTCAGCCTCCCAACTTTCCCAGTTCCCGAATTAGCCATTTTCTCGCCAAAAAATTTCACGGGGCAGCACATGAGAGCCGCGCATGCCTGGAGGCTGAACCTGATAAATTTTTGTTGTCTGTGTGTTGGGAACACTCCCTATAAATTTCAGCCTTCAAGCTCTCCTGATTCCCAAGTTAGCCGTCTTCCTGCCAAAAATTTTCAGGAGACCGTACGTGAGTACCACACACACTGCGGGCCTGAGTTTAATAATTTTAAGTTACACTTGTGCTGAGAACATTCTCTGAAAATTTCAGTCCTCCAGCTTTCTTGCTACCTGAGTTAGCAGTTTTCGTGCCAGGAATCCTTGCGGGGCTGTACACGGGAACTGCGCAGACGCGGGGGCTGAATTTGAAATCTTTGAGTTCACTGTGGACGGGGGATGTAATCACAAAATTTCAGCTTCCCAGCTTTTCTGGCCCCCGAGTTAGCGATTTTCCTGCCAAAACTTTCGTCCCTTCCATATGAAGAGCCCAGACTTGGGTGAGGGTTGGTACCGCGGTCCTGGGGCGGCACTTGGCCGGGAAATCCATCGGCAAAATTTTGGCGCCGGGGCTTGCTTGCGTGCCGAGTTGAAATATCCTGACAGACGCACACACACACACACACACACCAGGGTTGTCACAATATGCGTTTTTGCACTTGCATATAAGCAAAAACGCATAATTAAGCCCTCCGCATTCACTGTCCACGAGAGACGGTGGCAGCCAGAATTAGCTCGTTTGCTATGCTTGTAATAAAACATCCACAACACTGGAATAGAACTGTTTACTATGGTTCTCCAGCTGTTTAGCTAGTAGTAACTTTTCCAACTTTTTTATCGATAATGCATCGCCCACAACCATTTTTCGACTGATGAAACTTTCTAGAAGAGATACTCATCTTAGATTCTAATAGGTTCTTGTCGTCTGCGGGCAGCTGCTTTGACTGCGGTGGTATTTGAAAAGATGCTGTCAGCTTTAGCGCCATCCAAAAATCTTGTCCTCCACAACTGTTGTTAAAGGGAAGATGATTGGTTTGTTTTTCTGCCTGTTTGTTCGCGCATATTTATACGATTAATCTTAGATTTAACCTGAAAATTTATTGAGCAGATTTAGAAAATTATGAGTGGTAATTTGCAAGATTGAAAAGAGTTGCTCCGAACAACTTTAAAATACATTTGTAGAAAAGATCTCGGCAGGTAACCTCGGTAGGTAAGGAAGGTTGTTTCGCACTAGTATCTGCTGGCCCTCATCAGGGTTAGACATACAGCTTTAACGCGTCAAAAATAATTCAGATGCCGAGTGGCCTAGTACCATAACGTTATTGACTTCTCTTTGAATCCTACCAACTGATGAGGCTTGAATCAGAAGCCTAGTGCGGATAGCAGGTGCTAGCCGGAAGTTATCAGCTGAGGACAATGGGCTCTGGCGCAGTGGAGCTCGGCATGCACATGCAATTTAGGAATTATGAAATCACACAGACATTCCGTAACTGGCGCCTTACGAAATGCCTTTACGACTTCGTAACTCTTACGCATACAACCGTTATTTCTTTCACCGAACGCGTTTAATCTCTGTACAAGCTTATTTTGTCATCTTGAGCAGCGATTTTTGGAAACATCGAATTTTTTAATTCTGTTCATGACGATCACAGAGATTTGCTCTGCAGGATGAGGATAAACATGCATATAGCTTGTTGGTTGATTGTACTGCAATGCAGTCTTTTTTTCCTTGTCCATTTTCCTTAATCAAGGCACGTAACTGACTGTTTCCGTAAATGGTCTCACTGGTACTGCCCGTCATCACAATTACTGTTAAGGCAGTATAAACTACTATTACCAATTGGTCATCGTAACAACTGACCATCCAGTTTCGCATGAACTGCGGGAAGCAGAAAAATGCATTAAAATTATGTGTGCTTGCATGCCTCTGTGCCCGCATAATTCATGTGCATTACAGAGCATCATGTATCCCTGCATATTCTGCATAATAAATCGGCCAAAAAATATTCGAAGTGCAGCTGATATTTGTGTACTTTGATGTGTTCTCCCACAGGCAAAAGCTTACCTCAAAAAAGCTTCCGCGCCCACCTTCTTGTTGCTCCACACACTCCAGTACTATCCGCTATTGCAGCATTTTTCTGAATAAGTGAACTGCAGTGCCGTTTCAGATGATGCCAGCTTGAATCATTAATTTGTTGATTCAGATCGACATCACTCTGCCTGGTGACAATTCAATTTTTTGGCACTACACTAAATGGTAATCCAAATTTTAAGTTTTGCAAATCCCTCAGTTCGACACAGTGCTTGTCTTTTGGAAGCGTTTAATAAATTCTTTTTTTTCCAAATATTACAACATCTCAGCGCTTCTAAGTTTCATTTTGTTTCAACGGGTCAATCGTTTGTCGAAACAACGTCCGCGTACCGAACGCATTGGCAAATATTTTTTATGCTCTCTTGCATATTTCTGCACAAAGATTTATATTGGCAGAAGTTTCCTGTGTGCGTGTGTAGCTGTCTGTCCATCTATGTGCTCACATTTTGTCGCTCAATTTCAACTTAGCGACTAATAAACTGGAAAGCTGAAATTTTTGGAACATATGCCAACTGAATGCGCGACCCTCCTGTTTTGAAATCATCGTTCGCGTACGTTTGGTTTTCACGGGTGGACCCCTAAATGGGTTCATGCAAATTTTCTGGTGGAAAAGCGGTTTTGGGGACCAAACAAGATAGAAAGCTGAAATTGCACAGGGATGTTCTATATCTTTGTGTGAGCCAAACATTCAAATTCAGCTTTAAAAAGCCCGCCAAGGTCACGTGCAGGGCACAACATATGTGAAATTTCGTCATCGTTGGTAGAATGCCAATTTGGGGAGTAAGCTGCTTAAAGCACTGGCACTTTATGAGAATCTTTGTTCTCCACAGTTGGGCATATGGGGGTAAAAAGATCGTTGGCGTACTTTTTTATCGCACGTCCGGACGCGTTAAAGATACATCCAAAAGTGACTTCCCCAAAAGTCAAGCCAGGGAGCTGGAACACTACAACTTGGTAGTATGTGGTTCAGCTTCTTCAACTTCATCTTTAAAGTACGCCTTAAAAAGAAAGGTTTTTTGTTAAGTTTGAGAAGACAAAAAGCAGAATCATTGGCGGCGCGCACGTGCGGGCCCGTGCTATCATGCGTTTTTGCAGTGTTTCGTGTTGTAATGAATCGCTCGGAAAGCCAGTAGCTAGAAATGTGTGGCATACTGGTCCTCGAATTTCGGGAAGTTATCTATGCTGTACCTGGACAGGGAACATTCCTTAAAAATTTAAGCCCCTCAGCTTTCCTGGTTCAGGGGTTAGCTATTTTCCAAACATTCAAATTTTCATGGGGCCGTACGTGACAACTGCGCATGCCCGGGAGCCGAATTTGATAGCTTTAAGTTGTACTTGGGCTGAGAACATCCCCTTAAAATTTCAGTTTCCCAGCCCTCGATCCCAAGTTAGCGATTTTCCCGCCACGGACCT